CAGCAACTCAAAATACTTTATGGCAAGTATACTGTGTTTTACAAACATACTGTTCTCATTTTCGTTATACGCAACGTTCTGTGCCTAAAAACTTATGTTTCTAACTACATATTTAGCTCAGATCCAGGGAAAGCTCTGTCAAATGCGTTCAATGCTTCTAGTTGTAAAGGAGTTAGAATCGTTACATACTTTGTCACATTTCCGGCACTTGTTTTTGTTAGGGATCGATTCTGAGCAAAAAGATGTGTTCGTAGTCTTAAATCCCCCGACTTTTCCATTCTGCACTGGGTAACCCTGTGCGCCGACTGTAGGACTAGGGCTAACTCTAACAGTAAAGGAAACTTTGAAGGATCCTATCCACTTCGAAGTACATGTTGAAGTTTGTAATTGGGAGTAGCAGACTAGGATTGCCGAATAATAATGTGCTTAGATGACGGCCATTTTAAACAACACGTGTATAGCAAATAACAATTGTTTGTCTCCAATTCTCGTATAGAAAAAAAATATCGCACAATTACACTTAATAATGAAACTATTGATGCATCAAATCCTAGATGTTGAAGTTTCACAATAATAACCGCGTTGATAAATTCTTCGAACGCCGTCCGCCGATGCTTGCTGAAACGTACACTGCTTTAGTAAAGCTGCCTTCTATAACCTTTTACTCTGCTGGGCGGCCAGAAATTCCGAGTTTGTCTTTGTGATGACTGAGTCGACTGTGTTAACACAGACGCCATCTTGAAAAAGATTCGCATATGAAGAAGGACATAGATAGAACTGGAAAAGAAGTTAATCAGTAACCATGGTCGAGTTGGCGACGTTTACTATGCCAATGTTTTGACCTGACCATCGTACCTCGAGATAAAATAAGTATAGGTAGTACAGAGTTTGTCATTCAGTTTTTCTTGCTTGTGCACATATAGTTTTATGTAATGCTCGATCCAATGTTTAGTAAAGATTTTTCCATGTGCTAGGAAACAACTAGGAGCCGCCGTTTTAACCGCCGTTGCAATGATTCGCACGTACAAACCCCTATGCAGTCACTGAATGCGCCGGTATAGACTTAATAATACAGGCATTTTAATTTTTCGGAAGATATGTGTAACAAATAGTTTTTCTCGCTTTATTTCAAATTAGCTAGTAGGTCATAACTAAGAATGTTTCATACCTTCGATTGCTGACCGTGCATACATTTGTAATATAAAATGCTCTTGTAAATCTCATAGTGCAGATGCGCGCAATTAAGTCCTACACAACCTCATCTTTGTTTATATGTTTTTCTCTGACCTTGCCTACCCCTCTTAAGGCACCACAGTTACTTCCTTTGTATCACTTATGGTGGTGATATTCCATCCAATGTCTGTGTTTCGTTCTCTGCCGAAGTGGAAAGGACGGCATCTACGAAAGTGCGTATGCCTCTGCGTGTCTGTGTGTATGCAGAAGATTCTGCCGAGTAGAGGAAGTTTTCTGGGGTTTTTTGGAAGGGGTGGAAGCGGGAATTGTCTTCGTGATAGATATCAATGTTCACTACAAGGACAGTGTAGCTAGTGCGAGCTCCCCCTCCTTGGCGGTCCCGATCGGCGCAGTTTGTTGGCTGAACAGGGTGCGCTGCTGTTCGTGATATCTGTCGTGCTTCGTGTCCTGTCCAGAGGTGGGTCAGTGTCTGGTGCGACGGTTAGCGACCGGTTGGGTTGTCTGGATAGTTGGTGGGTTAGACGCCCGACCGACCGACCGACCGAAGATCACCCGGCCTGGTCTTCGGCCGGACCAACTAAGAGGGCTGGGGAAACGATGTGCCTGGGGAAGGAGAAGCCGGTGGGGGTTTGTGGGTTTTTTTTGTGAGGAAGGGGTTCAAGCGCCGCCACCCGGGGGCAGCACCCCCTTCTATGGGGGTGCTGCTTGCCTGCTAGCAGGAAACGGGACAGAGCGCCAATGACTCAAAGAGGGTACGGCGGTTTAGGACACGTTCGACCCGAAACTAACGCTGATGGCATTGGTATAATAAATCCGACTGATCGCGCTGGAAGAAAGAGTTTCAAAAAGGAAAACTGCGATGGGAACTTTTTTAAGCTTCTTCTGCTGAACATTGCGTAACTACGTGGTTATTTGTGAATAACTTGCTTTGCTGTCAAATATTTAATATTGTATATACTCAATCAAAATATAGCAACCTCATAGACACGCAGATCAGAGTAAATAAATGCGCTAACATGTTACTTTTATATACCAATTTACAAAGTTTGCATGTGAGTTAGACCAATGGCAAATTCTCGTTTATTTATAGTGTTATTATTTAATCGTTATAACTGTATCAAATGTTTTGTTCAAATAATAAAAAATTATTATTTAAACACATTTTCATTAAACACAAACACATTGAACAGATTTTTCACCACATACATGGTAGAGAATCCGATATGATCGTATAGCTTAAAAAGGCTAATAACAACTACCAACATATAGTTTTTTTTGCATCACATCAGTCTTTGTAGTACTATATTGCGATGTCATATCGAGTTCTGCAATGTCCGAATCGTTACTTACCTGTGCCAACTTTCATTGTCACTTATTTTCCATCTTGGTAACCTTCGACGCGACGCGCTTACCCTCTGACCAGAGCGCTAGTCGGATGTCCACTGTCGCTGACGTCGTCCTCTTAAGAAAGAGACTAATAACGATTTTGCCAGTTGTTGTTGGATTTAGTTCGAAGCCGGCTGCAGTATCGGTTTTGCCCCTTGACCCTGATCTTTACTTCCACTTAGCTACGTTGCCTGTCTTCGTTCGTGGGTTCTTCCGTGCGGACTGTAGTCCGACCTGTTAGCTGGTTGCCTTCGTGTTTACCTGTCTACGCGACGCTAGTCGTGGTGACGCTGGCGGCAGCAGTGGGGTAGTGGACACGGTGTCAGCTGTTGTATTGCTTTCTCTGCTAATGCTGCTGCTGATCTGCTGCTTCTCGTGATCCGAGCCTTTGGGCAGTGCTATTGCCACCGCCATCGTAACCGAAGGCAGCGTCGTGGGATGTGGCCGATGTTGCTTGTCTAAAAGCAAGCTAGAAGCAAGAGAAGACGGACGGAATGGAGGCAAAAAGGGGTAGCTAGGCGCTAGATTTTTCCGTCCGCCGTTGTTGCTCTTGACGCTGCTCCTCCCGCTGCCATCCGAGCTGTTACGAGTCCGTAGAGCGGAAGAGCTTGCTTCATCTCAAACCCCTTAGCAGAAGCACTGCTAACGTACGCTACCACAATCAGCACAGCAGCATTGGCAATACTGCTTCTAACTCAAGGGGTGGCGGCAGCAGCAGCATTTGCTCCCGTTGAGAGTGGCAGCGATGGCTGGCGGCTGTAGTGGCGGCGAAGGCTAAGGCGGCCGCAGCAGCGCTGCTGGCTCTTCTATAGAGACCGAGACCGGTAATGCCCACTGCCTGGCCTAGCTGCTTACCTACCTGTCCGCTTTGCTTGCTGCTGCTTTCGCCGCTACCACCGTTGCCTGGCCCTATCCGTGCTGCACCCTCGGGCAAGCGGGTGCCAGGCGCAGGCGGCGGTGGCGGGGTGGAGAAACTAAGCGCACGACCGAAGGGTTCGAGTTGGGGCAACTCCGCTAGGGACGAAATGGGGCGAAGGGCGAGAGTGGGGGTGATACGGCCGAGGGTGGTGGTGGTAGAAGCGGAGCAGAAACTATGGGCCAGCAGGGAACAGAAATAGGAAAGCAACTCTGAAGGTTCGCTCTCTCGGCAGCGCGCACGGGTCTCAGGCGGCACAGGCGGTAGCAGGCAGCCAGCAGCAAGGGCTTGCTTCGAGGTTCTTTCACGCTTTTTCCCATCGTTCGTTCTTCTTTCACTTTGGCGATCGTCCGCTCTCTGGAGATGCCCAAGAGCTCACCCTATCTTGCCCCCTCCCTTGCCCCCGTGCTGCCCCAGATCCGCCGCCTGCTCACAGCCCTCATGGCCCTCCTCATAGTCCACGTAGCTCTTCCCATCTCAGCTAGACAAGCAGCTAGCAGCCCGTTCCCTACGCCAAGTCCCGTCTTGGCAGCTACTGCTTCCCTTGGCTCCCTAGCGCTACTACACTACTCCTTGCTGGTGCTAGCGCTGCGGCTTCTCGTAGCTACTACGTCCTGCTAGAGGGCCTCGAAGGCTCTAGGAGGAACGCCGGCCATCCGCAGACCGTCCATCGGCCTGCCAGCTTGCTAGGCAGGCCGCTAGGCAGCTAAGCAGTAGCAACCGCCCTCGAGCGGGCTGAGAAGGTTTGGTTCCCTTGGGTACGACCCCCACTGAGGGGACGGCCACCGGCCAAAGCAGCCAGCTATCCAGCTAAACCTGCTAAAGGGCTCGCCTTGCCACTGCGGCTCAGAACTACCACAGCCGCCCGTGTGGGCAGACAGAGGTACGGTGCTAACCAGAAGTGGCAAAGCGGCTGGAGAGTCCCAGTGCAGCAAAAGCGGTTCACAGCTAGCCAGCAGCGACCCAGACAGCCCGAAAGTGAGGCGACCAAATGCCGCTGTTGTTACGACGGGGTGGCGTCAGTGCCGGCGGGTAGGCGATAGCAGGAGCAGCGGCGACTAGGTGCTAGCTAGCGAAAATCCTCGGGGATATTGGGAGGCTTTGAAGCTTTCAAAGAGATATGGATATGACGAGAGCAATAGTGACAGGACCCTGCAAGACACAGTAGCAGCGGTAGCAATGACAATCATGATGATGAAGTTGCTGTCGTTGCTGCCGTTAAAGTTGCGGCGGTAGCAGCGGTAGACGCTAGTCCTTGTCTTAGAGGTTTCATGGCTAGGCTGGGATGGGTTAAATGATAAGTATGATGTCCTATCTCGACTATGATGTCCGTATACATCTTCGTTTGTTAACGATGCTGTTTTCGATCTGCTTTAAACAAGGACTACACATCGGGTGCAGCGTAGGCCTGAATGTTAGGCAGAAAAATGGGTAATATGGAGAACTGGACAGAAAGATAAAAAAACGAGCAGGGTTAAACTTTTTGGCCATCGTTGAATTTCAGAGCGTACGCTTCAGAAGTTTCCTTAAGCGTGTGCGACGGCAGCACGTTCAACTTCGCAGTTTCGTGTGCAGATATAATAATTGCTGTAGAATAGGAGAATTCGACGATTGGCAAACCGTTCAAGGAAATCATACGTAAGGAATACGCAAACACTAAAAGTAAGCGGAATAATGTTGTGACAATATGGCATAGATATCAAGTTTGTTTTAATCAAATGTTCAAATAGAGGTGCAAGATGTAATGAGAAGAACCTTCCACTGTAACTCTAACTATTTCTGTAATTATCAACTTGAGTGCTGTCGCATTTCATTGCATGCTTCCAGTAACCTTTCGATTTTCCTAAACAGGAAAAACAGGATAGTCCTGTTGTCTATAGAAACACCGGCAAAATTTAGACACTAATACGGATCGCCTGGATGTCCTGACTGCGTGCGACCGTCTTAGTGTTTAGCTATGCTAAAATGTCCACAAAAAATCTAATAAACATGAGCCGAAACATTTACGTAACAATATTATTCAGAGCCTGGGGTTCCAATACTCGCTAACTGCTAGAAATACTTGATAATTAAGGTGTCTTAATTTCGGTAGCTATATGAACTTCTATAACTAACTTCACTGAATACATGAGATGCAGAACACCTAAACGCTTCAAGCAATTCACCCCAAAGCCGCTTTACATCTAACATGGGTGGGGCAATTACGGTTTGGAGGTCAATAAACACCTTATAATATACTTACTAACTGGAGAACGCAATGGGTCGTACAAAGATGTCAAATAATTCAAAATGACAGCGATCTAACGTATCATTTGCTTTTACAGTGTACATATAGTGAGTGTACAGCTTGAAAAATTCGCCAACAACATTTCTACAAGTCTAGCCTTTTCAGTTCATTTTTGAATGTTCAGCGTGTATAAGTTTTATCAGGAACTGAAGATGCCGGATGCTTTTCAGGACGCCACGTATCTGTTTTAACTTAGAGCCTAAAATCTTATACAGGAATAGTCCGCACTATTCATTGTCTGCCACCCATCAAAGATAACTTATAATATAGAGTTTCCTTTTTATCTGGCCTCTCTTCTGTACTGTCGCATGCGTACGTTCGTTCTGTTAACACTTGGAGAAGCTGATTATTTAGCGCTACGAAAAGTCGAATGTAAGAGTTCTTTTTCTATAGAGAAGTTCTAACGAGTACGTTCATTACAGGCAATCAAGGTGCAAGTCCACGGTAAGATGAAGAAATTTTCTACCGAGTACCTCAAACGGCTTCCTAATACCTTAGTTCGAGAGTACAAACGCAATTACAAAAATGTTCCGGTAGCGCTCTTTTTTTTGCAGTAAACCATAATTATTAGTTTCCATTTTTCTGCCATCGGCTAACAGAAAATTTGTAATCCCACGTTGTCTTTATCCGATACTTTCTTCATAATAGACTGGGGACCGTAGCAACCGTGAGTTAACCCACGGCCTTGTGGTCGTTATGCGCAATGTACCCAGCTGTGCACCACGAAAAAATGCTAACAAGGGTTCCAGTTTTCGTTGTTAGCGTTGGCTGAGAAGGCCCTTCTCAAGGTGAGTGCATGAGGACAGGACAGAGGACGGGTCGTGTTACTCGCTAGCCTAGCCTGTTGGGTTGCTTTGCGTCTACCGGATGGTAATTGTCATTGTGATGCTGAGTAGAGATTCAATGGCGGCTGTTGCAGCCGACAAGAGTCGTTGTGCTGTGTGCTATGGTTCTGTGTGTACAAGGGGCAGACCCGAACGGCAGAGCCACTCCAGTCGTCGTGCAATTGCTCCCAAGTGCACGCACAACAGCAGCAGAAACATTCGTTAAGCCTGTGCAGTATGTGACGCGATCCAGCCTTAACATCCAAGCATTGCCTGCTAGCTTCGCCAGATCATTGCGGCAGAGACATTAACGGTGGCTGGCTCGGCCGAACACTTGTAGACTTGAACGACCTCGATGGAACGCTGTCTACCTGCCGTGCTGCTGCTGTGGTAAATCGAGAGCTCAAACAGTAAGGAAACGTACGAGCGCCCAACTGGCAGGAAATGTAGAACTATTACCTGAAATGACAACAAATGATAATATTGGACATTTCTATCGGCTAGATATAGTGCATAGTTTATCATATCCCGTCCAGGCTATTGAAAGATCGAGTAAAACTAAAGTTAGTTAAAATATACGTATGGCTAAACTTGCACATCGGTGGACTATTTCATCTAAGTGCACAATAGCGGAAGCGACAAGGCCAAACGTGCACGAAGGTTTATTGGGCCGTGTCTATGATTGCCGTGTAGGGATGGCGTGGTATAGCACGGTAGGCTTAAATCAGCCGTTTCCGAATTTTTTTCATTGAACAGTGGTATAAGCAGTTCTAGTATCAAAGAGAACGCGTGCGTAGATTAGATCGAAGGTCACTATTAAATATCGACTTATACTCAATTGTTTACACATATTAGAAATGGGAGCCGTTTACTGCTGAAGTCGCTAAATGTTGGTGCGGTCATGTCAGCATGTGTTTTTGATTTCAGTGATAAATGTTGCCAGTCCGGACCGACGTACTTAGCAGCCAACGTGTATCCTTCAAAAGAGTGGCAAAGTTTGAGGATTGGGCACTCGTTTACCGATATCGAAGTAGCGGTTACGATGAAAATGAAACGAATCAATAGATTATGAATCTTTATGTAGAAGGAAGTCGTGACTCTACTTGACCGCTATTGCTAGCCCGATTATCTGATCTTTTTCTACTGTTTAATGCTGTTACCGCTTTACGTGAAATAGTGCCCTTTCTCTACCACTTGAGCCGACTACAATATTTAATTCATTGGCGTTGGAAGTAACGATACAATAGCTAACAACTGGTACACTTCTACAAATCTTCAATACTCGTAGCGTCTCATTGCTGTTAGCACCATGTACATGTATCATGCACATACTCAATAAAATAAGATTTTCTGATATACCACAGATCGCCTCTCGTCTAACTATAACAACTAATTCATATAATGCTTTTGATACTTACATGCTATCGTATATCTATCTACATATCTGATGTATATATAACCAAAAAAAACTAATATATATATATATTACAGACAATAATCACATGTCAAGTTACATTCTGTACAGGATGGTTTATATGACCTTTCTCTTGGCTATTTAAATTCCTTATATTCACGATCTTGCATAAACTTTTCTGGCTATCCGTTTCGCGTCATTAATTAATTTGGCAGTGAAGTATTGGCGTCCAAGTAGTCACACAAGCTTCGGCCGTGACTTTCGAGAACTTATTTCGTCCAGTGTCCATCTCGGCCAACGTAGCGAAGGATATGCGCTAGACTACGCTTCGCGGCGTGACAAACAAACAGTCTGCCCGATTCTCCGGCGTACTCCAAAGCTTCCAGTGAATTGTTGGTTCACTTGCGGTGAAGGAGAACGGCACAACAGAGATGGAGACGATGGTGACGTCGCTGACGTTGACAGAAAGGAATACCGAAACGGTATCCGGATTTTTACATCGCGCCGTTGGCCTTTGAGACTGACTAACGACTTTTGTCCTGTTCTCCCGCGGCTTGCCGCCTTCCTAATGCCCCTGTCTTGGACATGATCTTGCGTCTTCGTTGGATAATCCCCTGCCTGCTGCTGTTTCCCATCCCCGTGGCCCGTTGTCGCTGCGGCCGTTGCCGCTGCGGCCCGTTGCCGTTCACCAACTGCTTGTCGCGGTAAGTCGTCCACCTGTGACCTCTCCGCTTGCTTCTCCCGCCCTTGTAACTGTCAGCCGCGTGTCAAAAATTGTCACATCTGCCCCGACATCTCTCCGACCCTTAGGCTGAGACGCCCCATAACCAGCCCCCCTGGTCCCTATTCCCGTCAAGCCCTTTGCCAATGCCCTAAACTCAGCTGCCTTTCCTGTGGAAGCGTCCATCGTTGTGCTTTCCCATCTAGCAGCCCCGGCAGACTAGCCGCCCCACCTCCAAGTCTCTTCGAAGGAAGCCTGCCTCGCTGCCGCCTTGCCTGCCACGCAGACAGGCGGACAAGCGGAGGGCGAAACGCCGTCAGGGTGTTGGGTTGTTGGGATCCGCACTTCGTCTTGCTCACACTCGCATTCTCATCCCACTGGGCTTCTTTTCTTCTTCTTCTACTACCCCAGGCCAGTTCGCCGCCTCTCTTCCCCCTCTCCTTTTCCACCTCTCGCACCCGTCCACGCACGAGCCCCGCACAGTTGCCGTTAGCCCCTACCAGTTTCGTACTTCTTTTTGCTCTTTCAGTCTTCTCTCTGTCCCTTTCTCTCTTTCCTTGCTCGCACTCATTCTTTTCCTCGCTTTTCCGTTCGTTTTTCCCATCATCGCCCCCTTCTTCTTCCCCCTGCCACCATCACCCTCTTCCTCGTTCACGTTCTGCAGTCGACACTAGCCGTCCTTTTGCGAGTGCCTATTTCTTATCCTTCACCTCATCCTGCTGGTTCTCCTCGTGGGCCTATCTTTCCCTCCATTCCCGCCCTCTCTTTTCACTCCATCCCCACGTCCTCTCCCGCACTATCCCCCTCTCTCGCCTCTTCCCTCTCTCGCGAGGCAAATGCATCCTGTTCGGTTGCCTGCCGCTCTCGCCAACTGCCCGCATTGCCTCGGCGGCCGCTCGTTCTCTTCGTCACTCACTTTGCCACTTCTCTTTCTCGCTCTCGTTTTCCCGTCTGGGTCCCCCGCGGCGGTCGGACCCGGCCCTTTGGCCCGATCTTCCCCCGGCCTCCACCCTCCGCACCCTGTCCATTCCATCCCTTCGGCTTCCCATTCCCTCACGTTCCCAAACCTCCTCCGACTTCTTTCCTCGGAATTCGTTCTATCGACCATCTTCTTTCGTCGTGTGGTTCTTCGTTCTATTGGATATCGCAGAGGAATTTTTGGGAAGAGAGAAGCGCGCTTCCCGTTTCCCGTCGCTGCCTACTCTGCAGCTCCTGCCTGCCGCTCCCTTTACCGCCTTCTGGCCATGAGGACAAGCAGGCAGCAGGGAGGCAGGCAGGCAGGCAGGCAGACGAGTGGGGGTCATTGGGGATATTTTGCGGGGAAGTGGCAGGGTGGAGAAGAAGACAAGCGAGAGAATGAGAGTACGGGAAGACCCGAGGAAGACGGGACGCAAAGCGGGAGCAGCGACAGGCGGCCAGGCAGCCAGGCCGAAGGAACGGACCGAACCGAACCAGCGAGCAACTTAACCAAGCTAGCGAGGGGGCGGGCGGGCGAACAAGCGACGGACCAGCCGACGAGGCCGGCCCGCCAGACGGGCGGGAAGGCCAGCAAGCACTGGACGGACAGACCAAGCCAGCGACGTACGAAACTACGAGCGAACGAACCAGTGAGCCAACGAAAGAAGTAGCGAATGAACGAACGAACGAACGAACGCTAGGAAAAGCTGAAGAAGGAGGAGGAAAACGACGACGACGACGACGACGACGAAGGAAACGAAGAAGAAAGCGGACGGAATGAACTAAAGAAAGGCAGACACAGATGTAGAGGTGGTGAGCAAGAAGGCGAACGAAGGATACTGCTGGTAGAGTAGCACGAAAGAATCGGTCCGAGTTAGGGGCCGAGCGCGCAGTGGTGGTATCATAGGAAAGCCCAGGACGAGCGATTGGTAAAGAAGCTCTAGCAGACGTGGTAATAGCACAGGCGACGAGAACAGCACCAGCATTGCGAGTCTGGTAGAGACGGGTGGGCAGGGGTTTGGACCTTTGGGTCCGGTTAGATGCACGACGAAAACGAAGAAGTCGATGACGACGCGTTTCTACGAACACTATGACAACAACAAGCAGCGACGACGGCGCCAACGACGAAGGCGATGCTGCGGATAGAAGTTAGTGGCGGCCGCGATGGGATGAGATGCTGGCGGTGCCATTGGCGGTGCTCTTGGTGGCGGCGACGGCAGTAGCAGCGATGACGGCTGGGGCGAGTACAACGCGTCGTCAAGCATCAAAGTTCCCTATGCCCCGCCCTGTTTCCTGTTTATCTGTTACTATCGTGGGCTGATATGGTGGGGACAACAGAAACAACAACGACGATGTTAGTTGGGTGGCAGAACTAACAACTACAACAACAGAAGCAACACAAACACTTGCACGAAACTTAAGAGAGAAGACAAAGAGGTAAACTACCCATAAACGTGATTTCAACATATAAATATCAATACTGAAAATAATATTTAGTCAGTATTTAATCTATCTAATGGCAAATCTTAAAACAATTTAAGCTAGAAGACCGTTGTAGGAACACTAGAAATGTGCGTGTATTGTCCGTGTATAATGCAGCCTGTAAGAACGCCCCTAAATGCACTCATGTGCCATTGCTAGTCAATACATTGCTCTTCTTCCGCTTTTGCTTTCCATTTGTTGTGTGAGCAAATGCGGCGGTAAACTTGGGTTTTCAGCTAGCGAATGCGTTTATATGCAGGTTCATACGCAACTCCGTCACGCTGGCTACTTCCCTTCTAGACAACTTAGTTTTACTATTACTTCTAACAGCAATAGTAGCTATAGTGATGGCCGCTGCGGTAGTTGCAGCGAAGGTATTGCACGCAAGAAAAGTCTAGGTAGGACGACGAAAGCCAACGGGCCAGAGTAAGGGAAGAAGCTCGAAAAATGAGAGGCGGCCGGCCCGTAGTTATGGAGAATTCCTAATGTCAATGTCCGAGTGCAGAAGCTGCGGCGGCAGCAGCCACGGCTGGCGTACTTGTCGTTGTAGAAGTAGTTGAGGTAGCAGTAGTAGCAGCGGTAGTGAAGTCCTAGAATGGGACGAGCTGAGAGGTCCTCACGAAGCGTGACGCTTCGCAGACGCCTATCTTTAGACGGAACGGCAGTTCAGCCGGTGCCGCCAAGCCGCGCTGGGTCTTCCTTGGGGACTCGGAAGCAGCGAGGGAGTCTTTCTTAGCTCTCGTCGTTCGTACCATCTCTTTCACCGTCCTTCGTTCTATCGCCAACAAGATCACCCAGCGCTCTGATCAATGGAGGAAAGGTGGCGTAGTTTCCCGTATCCGACCCCACTTCAACCTTTCCTGGCACCCCCCGGTTGTTTCCAAAGCGTCCTGCCACTGCCCGAGGTGCCCGCTTGTTCTATCGAAACCTATAGATCGACGGGTCTTTTGCATCCGGAAAGCAACGGTACCGTTGTCGCTGTGTTTATATATGGATGTCTATATGCGTGCGTGCAATGTATGCGTGTCTGTATATGTGAATAATGCATAATTATGTACTATGTCATGGGCAGTTATAAGTTGAGCATGATTTTTCTTAGAGCACTCGAGTGTAATCATGGAAAATTGGCAATCTTTTAAATTTGTTTTAATACACCTGGTCAGGTACTATACGGTATCCGGAATACAGGATGAGAACAAAAAAATTACATCTTAAATTCGTGTTCAATACCGAGCAATTCTGTACCCGTTATCCGAGTAGCATATAATAGTGTATATTACAGTAGACACACACACACACAAACCCATTTAAGATTACAGCTCTATGTTCTGATGTTCATAATGGGCGCTGCTACCTATATATGGGTGGGTACATGTTAGGCAGTATCATGCCTCGGTACGAGGGGTGAATCCCTGACTAAAACGGAACGGAGCTATGCGAAAGAAAGAAACATTGGGGAACCTAGCGAACCGCGCCTGGAATGTGCTGCTCCACGATACTGTGGCGGATTTATAGCGCAATCTGCAGGAGTAAATTGAGAGGCAGTCGCAAGACTCAACGAAGGCAGCGATTGGAGGTCGCCAAGAAGAACCCAAAGGGCTAGAACATTCCGAAGAGGGCAAAAAGTCGAGCGTCGAGTCAACCGGGCAGACGGGCGCCGCGGTATGCTGACTCAAGTTTATGTTCGCTTCACGAGCCGCAAAAGCGGTTGTGATCTGCCCTAGAGTGCTCACGGGCTCGGTGGCTCTTT